ATCCTTCCCCAAGCGAGAAGCAAAGAAAACTTGTTAGCTGCGGATGATGGGGCGCGTGTTAGGGAAGAGCGCTACGCCCAATCCACTCTCCACAGTTGTCGGAGCTGGTAGGTGACAACAGTCGATGGAAAACGACTGATACGAATGTTATGTTAAGGTATTGTCTCTCTCGCTCACTTCAATAACTTCTAGGAAAGCGCAGTTTGGCGCTGCGCCAAGCCCATCTCTCGTGACACGCCCCATCATCCGTAGCGAACAATACCGTACAGGGGTTTCCGGCGAAAGGCCAGACAAGACCAGCAAGAGAGCTTGGAAATGAGCGAACTGATATTGCAGTTAGCTACGCAGGAGGAGTCAATTGATGAACCATCGGGATTAACGCTCTTAATTTATAAGTTCCTGAAACATGAACAAGGCCGTCCACTGCGGACCTTTCCTAACAAAGAGCTATGAAGGGTAAGGGATCGCGTCTTCGAGAGGACTGATGGTGAGTCAACTGCAACGAAATGTGAATTATGATTTTCCGAGGAAAGCGTTTTAATGAGCAGCGCCAAACAAACAAGTATGTGAAAATGTCGCCAATCACTTCACATTCAACCTTCGGCAAAATAACAGGAGGCGTAATTAACAAAGCGAAAATACTGGGAATTAGAAAGACAAGGAAGCCTTACTAGAAATAAAATCTACCATCTGCAACTGCTCGCAGCTTGTAACAAGTGTTGGCATGCACTCCATATCCCGGGATGGGGATGGTGTGGCCAAGTACTTCATTGCGGAATGCCAGAAGTTTTCTTTTTTTTCTGGAATTTTGCCATTTCGGTTGTGAGGCTGTTGCAACCCTGTCCTTGCTTAGCAAAAGGCAGGGTCAGCTGTTTCAAGCTCCCAGAAAAAAGCATCCTACCATCTTGAAAAAGAAGTACCGTTAGCCACTCCTCACACACCGGTCGCGGGATGCATACAGAAGGACGCGGTGAGAGTGCAGAGAGAGTGGACGGTGATGTCTATCAAAGGTTTTATTACCTTCGCGCACAACGGACGCTAATGAGGCGAATATAATACAATACCTTGATGTAATAGAGGGCGTAATTAATGAGTAATAGGAAGACAACGAGCGAGGGGAATGGAGAGAAGTGGCGAGAGTTACACAAGGTGCGTCTCAACGAACAGTTTTCAGACAAGTGGTGCCTTCTATCCCTGCTTTATCGCTTGAATTTCCTGAATAATCTGGAAGGAAAGGACTGGCTCGTACATCGCGTGACCCTGCGTATCGTTCGCGCACTACAACATGGAGTGACACGGTTTCCCAGGCATTCAGTGACTCAGCAACTACTCTAAACACTAGGCCCACACACAGAGGCCACAGGAGTGGTTCGTTCTTCCTGCGCGACTTCGTGGGCGCCATCAAGGAATTAAAAAAGAAGACCAGTTACTGAAGCGTCCTGCTGCACAATGGCACGCTTACTGAATGGTGTGGTGGACATCAAAATGGACTCACGAAGGATCGACTTTGCTCGGCATTTCCTTTAGGCTGCTCGGCTTTTCATATGTTAGTGGGATGGATTAGCATGAGTTATAGAGTTTAATACTGTAGTTTCAGGAAACAATGATTGATTTTCCGCAAGGAGGAGCCTTGCCGTTTGCAAGGTGGGCAGGTCCTAGCTGTAGAACTGTGCCACGTTCGGCAGCAGAAGGAGCGGGTAAATGGAGCGGGAGTTTCGCGGCAAATTCACTCCATTTCACTCTCTTTCTCCACCAACAGACTGAATTTGCCAATGGTTTCGAGCTTGAATGGGATGACCCCTTTTTAGAAAAATTGAGGATTTTTCGAAGTTTTTCCTGTTAATTTTTTACCGTTTTTCACCCTCGCCTCCTACACGCACGCGTACTGATTGCCATATCAAACCTGCAGTATTTACCTCTGGTAAAAGGCGTATCAGGGGTGTTGGAGCGCATCCATGCTAGCCATCTCCACCAATAGTTGCGGACTCAGTATGACACCAGTTGGTGGACGAGGCTGCCGTGACTCGGCTCCATTAGACTGCCCTTCGTTTGAAGGTTGATGAGCTGCCCCAACTTGTCCGGACCTCTAGAGAGAAGATGATGCCCGTATCGAAAAGCAGCTCACAGCGGTGATATACCAACCTTCGTTGCAATGCTAAATACTCCCAACCACTGCGTCTTCTGATAAAATTAAAGGCAAAGCCCGCGACCACAGATTGTGGGTAACGGAACCCACATAGGAACGAAAAAGGGCTAGGTATCTGATTAGCGGAGAAAAGCAGCAGAAAAACAGTCGAAAATGCCCTAAATAGTATTCCATGTCGACCCCAACTTGTACATGCATGCAATGAAGAAAACGCATGTTTGTACGAATTTCCACTCGTCGTTATCATAAAGATATCAGCTCTTTTATCGTATCACCTCACTCTCACCATTCGGAATGGAGAGAGATAGCATAGTGGCTACTAGCTAGTAGCTAGCAGCCGGTGGGGGTCGGCATGGGCCTAAGGGGCGCCCTTGGGCCTAATTGGTTAGCTTAAAGCGGAATTCTTGCCGATTTTCACTTTCTAAAGGTAGCGCAGCCTCCGCAATCTCCTTCCGGATCGTCTGACACATTTGAAAGGTCATAGCCTTATTTTGATGGTCGGAAAATGCCTTTAAGTCAGCAGAAGGCACGGAACTTGTGAACTGTGAACATTATGGAAGAGTGATTTCCAGATGAGAGAAATCCCATGACAAAATCGTTTTCAAGGTTCTTGTTTAATTTTGCGTGAGTTTGCAACTGCTGTGCAAACTGGGGGAGAACAGCATGTTAATCACCAGAAGCTGCACATTTTCATTAATTTAGCTGTTAGCATAAGTATGCTACTCCGACGTTCAGCAGTGGAAAAATGTGTGGACTCAAGCGAAAAGTTAGAATGCAAGAAGGGGTTGAAATATGGGTTTCCCAAGTAAAGGCAAAAACGGTTTTTTGTTCAGAATGCCATTTCGACCTCGAAATAGACCTTTATCGACAGGGTACAGCATCGTTGTGTGAAATACATAGGGGCATAACACATAACACATGGTGCTTTCCGCTGTGGAGGGGTGGGGGAGGGGTCGTATTTGGTCGTTGGGAAAGAGAGGGGAGTCGTATGTAGTGCTTGAGAGACGAATGTTTTTTGTTTGTACTATATACCCCTCTCTTCTCCCCCCCCACTCGACGATTTTTGGGTGAAAAATTGGATTGGAAATGTGGGAAACTGGTAGGTAGGTGTTGAGGGGGAGGGGTAGTACTTACGTTACCATTCACACATCACGACGTTGTACCCTGTTTGTCGAAATCTTTGTATGATGTCGAACCATATTTTATTTCTACTAAAACGAGGTTATTAGGTGGAATTGTTCATTGGCCAGAGGTTTCGACCTTCTAGTTATCCTCAGAGGCCTGAAAGTGGTTTCTCTCGCTTCACAAGCTATCCGGCCAAGCGCCCTCTTCCATTTAGCGTGTGCACGTGGTGTCGTGGACATTCTCGAGTAACCAATATATAATGTAGTGGCAGTATTGAACTCACCGAAGATTCCACGGATTGTGCTGGATATGAAATCGCACTTCTTCTTACTAGGGATGGTCGTCAGGTCGAAGTGGCCGTTTGTAATGAGACCTAGATCACTAGACGTATTTTCGGACGCTGATCTCAAATCTGCCTTCCAAATTCGCAAAGCGATTCTCTGAACGGAGTTATGACGGGTTGTTTGGCTGAAGAGACACAGGGTCGAGGACGGTTGCAGCCAGTTGGCATGAGTAACCGAGAAGCAATTACGGATTCAATGGCGGCATGACATAGTGGTAAGAGACTAGCTTCACACGCACTGGATGAAGGTGCGGACCCCGAGAGTGGGGTTCGTTTTGCATTTTGTGGAGGATGTTCTGAAAAAGCAGTTCAAGCGTTGATATGACTACATTTCTAAACATTAGGTGACCAGTGTGATCTATATCTCACGGTAATGGACCTCGTTGCTCTGGATCAGTGTCATAGAGAGTCCATTCGACTCTGTGCACCGCCCGCGGACGGTCGCGTTTTGGGCCGCTCCAGTGGATACGTGAGTCCTTTTGCGTTTTCGTTTCAGTTTTCCAGTTTTGAATACTACTCTGTTCACGTACGATTTCGTTTTTGCTTTGCTACATTTGTACGTGTCAGTTTTTGTTGTATTGACCATTTTGCTGTGTTTTCTTTTTGTGCCTTCTCCCATAGCGTTTCCTTCGGCTTGGTTTTTTGGCGCCCACGTTTTCGATTGATTTGAAATTGATTGGCTGGTCAAAGTCAAAACATGCCCCACGTAGCTGCTCGGCAAGGTAATAAGCGAAAAGATTCTATAGGGGATCCTGTAGGAAATTCGTCTGCCAAAAGACCAGACCTTGATGTTGAAAGGGAAGACTTTCATCCTGAAGATTTATCCAAGTTTTCTGCCAAGGAAATTCTTTATGCAATTCAACAGCGGAATAAGGACCCAATTATCGATCAAATGCTCGAGGCATTGGTAACAAAACTCCCGCAAGAGATTTCAGAGGGAATTGACGCTGAGAAGCGTGCCCGTAGCCTTGTAATTTCTGGACTTCCTGAAGCACCGGTTGATATGCGTCCATCTGCTAGGCAAGATGACCTTGAGTCTAAAGTCTGCAAGCTACTCGACATTCTAAGAGTAGAATGCAGGCCTTTAGAAATTTATCGTTTAGGCAAATTAGCTGATTCTCGTCCGCGTCTAGTAAAGTTGGTTTTGCCATCTAGATCTCACTGGGCCACCGCGCTTTCAAACTCCCGATTACTGCGCGATTCGGAGTTCGCAAATGTCTACATACGTAAGAGCATGACACCCGCTGAACGGAAACGTGATTACGAGCTCAGAACGGAATGCAAAGAACGTAACAAGCGTGCTAATGCTCGCGTCTGGGTAGTATATAGGGACGAATTGAAACAGATTCAGGATATACCTAGGTCTCGAACAGTGGGAAACTTCTAAGCAGCCCTGGTTCTCTAAAGGCATTAGCTGCCTATTATTCAATTCCCGTAGCCTTTCTAACAAGATACACCATCTCCATCTCCTACTTAGTACTGATGAGCCAGACTTACTTTTCATCACCGAGACTTGGCTTTCGACTAGGATTTCCAGTTCTGAAATTATCGGCGGTTTCCCCTATCAGATTTTCAGACGCGATCGTAAGGGCCGCAAAGGCGGAGGGGTTTGTTGTTTAGCTAAGAATGGTTTGAAGATTTCTTTGGGTACAGTTCCTCCTGACATTAAATCGGATCTCCTTTGTCTTGATATCACCGATTCCATATTTTCAAGAAAAATCAGAGTAATTTTGGTTTACCGGCCACCCAACTCTTCAGCAAATGATGATGATTGCCTGATTGAGTCCTTATTGGACGTGACCCTCACTCAGGCGCACCTAGTCCTACTTGGCGATTTAAATCTCGAGATAGACTGGTCTACTAATACTGCTAAGAGTTCGGGGTCTTCCAAATTTCTCGAGTTTTTCAAAGCTGGTGGGTTCACCCAAAACGTTATGGAACCTACTCGTGGCGAGTCAATCCTCGATATTATTCTAACATCTACTCCTCTACTACGGTCTGTTTCAATCAAGCCCCCTTTCGCTTCATCAGACCATAGTACTGTTGCCTTTCAATTTCAAATTCAATCACCGCTCAAGAACAATTTACCTTTCCCAAATTTCAATAAGGCTGACTACGGCGGACTATCTTCCTACCTTAACTCAGTCAACTGGTGGGAGGTCTTCTGCGATTACACTTCGGTCGATGATGTCTATAACAGGTTCTGTGGAGTTGTTCATTCGGGTTTGTCAAGATTTGTTCCTTTACAGTCCCCACAGATGCACAAGCATCGTTACCCCAAGCATCTGTTGAACCTTATGTCTCAGAAAACTCGGTTGTTCCACACGCTACCCAGTGCCTTAACTGACCCTGTCTACAAAAATGTTTGCACAGAATTGGATCGCCATCTGAGAAGGTTCCTAAACTACAGAGAAAAGCATGCTGGCACATTCCCAAACAGCAAGGCAGTATTTTCCTTAATGAAATACAAATTGAAACTTCATGCAGATCTTCCAGTGCTTCAGGATGAGGCTGGTAACCAGTACTTCGATGATTCAGCCAAAGCTGAAGCTCTAGCTCAATACTTTACCTCCGTATTTGTTCCCCAATCTATTCCACTTGATGAAGTTTCACCTTTACGTAATACCTTTGATTCCCTTTCAGAAATTTCCATTGATCCACTAGACGTGCTACGCGTATTAAAATCACTGAAGTGTTCTACTGCTTTAACCATTGATGGAATCCCGCAAATTGTTTATCGAAGATGCGCGCACTCCTTGTACAAGCCATTAACCATGATCTTAAGCATCTCCTTGCTGTTAAATGAAGTCCCTGCACTATGGAAAAAATCTGTTGTAACAGCGATTCCTAAGAAAAGTGATTCTTCTCTTATTGCCTCGTATCGTCCGATTAGCATAACCCCACCCCCAGTCAAGGTGCTAGAAACATTAGTCCGCGATAAGATCCTTGCTTGGCTTGTTGAAAGAAACTCGATTCCGCCTGAGCAGCATGGCTTTTTGAGGGGTGCGTCCACAGTAACCCAGCTGGCTGACTGCGTTTTCGATTGGACCTTAGCCGCCAACTGTGGAAAATCTGTTGATGTGATATATTTCGATTTATCAAAAGCTTTTGATAAAGTAAATCACAGAAAGTTGATCGCAAAACTTCAACAGCTTGGCATTGAAGGTTCGTTGTTATGTTGGACCCGGTCTTATTTGGAAGACAGAAAAATGTGCGTCAAGGTTGGTAAGGCATTCTCTAAGCATTACTCTTGTATTAGTGGCGTCCCTCAGGGGGGCGTCTTGTCGCCACTGCTTTTCTTGGTTTACACCTGTGATTTGCCTGCAAGGCTTAAAAACACATCAGCTGGTCGAAGTGCGTCTTTATGCAGATGATATTAAAGTCTACGGTATCTATGATAACAAGACTCATGCTGATGTGTCTGATGCTCTTCTAAAGGTCTATTTGGCGAATGATGATGGAAGTGGGCCTCGGATTGGGATAACCTGTGAACTTCTAAAACGACCATCCTTCACATTGGCAGAATAGAGTACTGGGACTATTCGTTTGGCGATTACATTCTTAGTGCCTCACATGAAGTACGAGATCTCGGAGTCCTTTTGAATACTGAGCTTGATTTCGAGCCACATATCAAAGAAGTTGTTCGGAAAGCTTTCTCATCACTGTTCGCCATTTGCAGAAATTTCAGAGGTAATGACCACTTAATCCTGGTTAAACTTTACAAGGCATATGTCATTCCTATTTTAGAGTACGCTTCCCAAATTTGGA